ATGTCCATATAATTTGTCAATTCTGCATTGACTCTCATTCATATTTGCTGATACCATTCATAGCTTCCCTTTATTAAAAATTACTTTAAGTAATCGAGTAGATGAAAGATATGAGAAAGATTAAATGTTCTAGGGTTAGTGAGAAGGGGACAAAGGATGAGAGCCCTAGTTAATACTCTTTCAGCTAGATCATAGGACCATTATTAATGCTCTATCTATTATAATATTATATCATTATTGTTATATGTTTGTATCATTATATCATTATTTATTTGTTTTGTGTATGTAAAGTAAAAACAAAGTTTCTTTAAAAAAGCAGTGTCCTACATAATCAAACCAGACAGATAAATGAATACATTAATAAACAGATACATAAGTAGACAAAAGACCTTTTGTGTAATATATACATGTATTTATATATATATGGGTGTGTATGTGTGCACATGTTTGTGTGTGTGTGTGTGTGTAAGCCAGCTGCCTAGGTGGCAGCTTCCTTCCCCCGTCCTTACTAGCCTTTGGTATCTGGATACATTTTGTTTGTTTTCTTCTGGTTGCTGTATGAAAAATGAAGATTCTACATCTAGATGTCTCGAACACCGGTATGTTGAACTCAGTTGTGAAAAAAGATATAGAGTTACAGCCATGCATCAGGAATCGCACATAATGCAAAAAACATTTTTTCTGTCTGATACCTGACCTGTGAAAATGCCCATCAGAGTGTTAATAATACATGCCACAGAGAATGAAAGCTTGAGAATCCTTAATAGTTACTACGTGGAAATGTCTAGGTAACAAATTAGTGCTAATGGATTAGCAACATCTTACAGAGACACGTTCTATTTTAGTTAAAAGGATTGAGAGTATTTCTTGGCCTAGTGTTTCTTGGCCCTAAAACTTTGATCCTATAGTTGATATCGAGAGTAAGAATTATCTGAAGATAAAAAAAACACAGCTCCCTCTCATTAAGCACATGTTTAATTTAGATAGAAGTTAGGCATTCATCAGGCATTTTTGTTTGTTTCCTAAAAAGATAGATTTGTATGATATTTTTAAAAATACATCACAGGACACAGTCCATCTGGTTAACAAATTACAATTTCCCAGGAACAATATTAAACAATACAATGTTTCAATTAAAACAATAAATATGAGAAACATAGGGCACGCAATAACATAAAGGTTCAAATCTTCATCATTCAACTGAAAGCTAAATTTTAGGACATGCTATATGTAAAAGTGCATTGAGCACTGTATCTGATATATTTGCCGACATTCGCCTTCTCTATAACCTCTGGCATTTGAGTCCAAGTTAATCATACAATGTCCCAGTGATGTTGTTACAAAATTAACTTGACTCTCTCCATTACTCTCACAAACGCCCGCACTAGGAAAAAACTCCGTATCACCTGCCAGTCCATAACCCACCTCTGTCTGTCTCTGTCCTGCTGACAGTAAATGCCCTTACCAGCTAATTGAACAGATGCACCCAGGGCTGCTTCCTGAAGACCCTCAAAGCTGGGCTTTGACGGACAGCAGAGAGGAGCATAATGAAAACACAAGCCGTTTAACTAAGAGCTCTGCTTTGTTCTGCTCAGAACTTTAAGGTCACTCCAGCTCATTCTGACTGTCGGGATCTTAATTTTTACTCAACCAATTTACTCGCAGCTGTCATTCTTTCCAATATTAAAAGTTCAGCTCTTCAAGTGTGGGGAATTGGGGGGGTGGGGTGGGCGGGGAATGAGAAGAGCTTGCTGCACACTAAAAACAGCAAAAACAAGTAAAATCTGGCTTGGCTCTCAAGTACAAAAAGTTATTTTCAAAGCCTATAAATTATGACACAGTGATTAACATGTAATTTAAATATATTTAAACAACAATTATATCACATTTCCAGCCCGGCTAATTGGCCTCACAGATGTTCCCTTGTAGCTGTGTTGCCCTTCCAGGAGGAAATGAATGAGGTGCTTTTTATCATGAAAACAGAAAAAAAGCAAATGGAAAAATGGAAACAGAAATATAAAAAGCAGCCAGTAACCCTAAAAACAATGAATGCTAAAGGGGCTTTGCTTAGCATTTTTTCCATTTTAATACTGAAAACCAGGAAAGGCATGAAGATGGTCCTATTACTGTGATAGTATCTGGCAGTGTATCCAGATACAGAGTTGGCAGGTTGCCGACAGCAAGACCTGTCAAAGCAGGGACAGAGGATGCATGTTAATACGCCGTGGCCTCTCTTAGTCTTGGAACAGACTAACTGCAAGAGGTCTCGTTATTTTTAATACAACATTTTACAATGAAAGGTGGCCTAACCCGTATAATGAATAGAGATAATAAAGTATTTCCTGATGAAGAATGACTTGTGAGTTATGACTTGGATCATTTATCTCTCAAGTTTTTATAAAATACAAGATGTGCAGCAAAAACAGCTGAAGTGCTGAGGCCAGCCTGGTGGCATAGTGCTTAAGTTCATGCACTCTTCTTCAGCGGCCCAGGGTTTCCATGTTCGAATCCCGGGCGCTGACCTACGCACCACGTATCAAGCCATGTTGTGGCGGCATCTCATATAAAGCAGAGGAAGATGGGCACGGATGTTAGCCCAGGGCCAATCTTCCTCAGCAAAAAAGAAGAGGATTGGCAACAGATGTTACCGCAGGGCTAATCTTCCTCAGCCAAAAAGAAGAGGATTGGCAACAGATGTTAGCTCAGGGCTAATCTTCCTTAAAAAAAAAAAGAAAAGAAAAACAAAAAAAACAGCTGTGATGCTGTCTTTTCAGCTGAGAATCTAGTTGAACATGACCCAGTACAGCAACTCTTGCAAGGTGAGAGGTCACAGGAACACAGGTAATTACTAATACTTTGGAATACCTTGCCTTCTAATATGTAATCACAGAATTGAAATAAATTCACTCCAACCTCATTTCACTCTTGCCTTTTCTTCTAATCATCTCCGGTTATGTTTGATAGTACCGTGTAAATTCAAAAGGACGGTGGCGGTGTCTCTCCTTGAGTATCATGATCTCTCCAGCATCTACTACAGTTCCTCTGCTTTCATTGTAGAGATTTAATAAATATTTGTTAAATGTATGCTCAATAATCGGGGTTTAATGATAGGGTAAGACCAAGGTTTGTAATTGATAAAGTTCCACCAGGCAATTGTTGTATTTCTCATTCCTTCCCTGTATTTTACATATCACTGGACTACATAGAAAATTCCTTTCTCAAATTTTATGAACAAATGTATTTGATTTCGTATCTTTCTAAAAGACAGCAAAATATACCTACATTTAAGGTGATGTGGAGAATAGGGAAGCATTTAAAATGCCTCTTTGATGAGTAGCTTTGGCATCTTGATTGCTTGATTTTAAAAATCTGATTTGACAGATGTGAATATTTAAATTTCATATATCCTCTCATTTGTATAACAGTACAGAGCTTACAAAGTTCATTTATATACATTATCTTATTTTGTCTTCACCAAGAATGAGCTAGAGAGGCCAAGGATGAAAAATGAGAGTCTGAGATGTTTCATGAGTGACCACATCACGTGTAATCGAGACTGGAGCTCAGAGCTGCTAGCAAATCATAAAACAATCTGTCTGTTGTACAATATCACCTCCTAGGCATTGCATATTAAATAGATCTCTAATTTGCCATGTCTTAATCTTCAATATGTTGTTAGCCACATTATAAGAAAAGGAAAGAGAGATTTTCTATGCCATTAGGTAAGTGACTCAGTTACGGGGAAAGTTAAAATGTAAACCCACTGTTCAGAACTCAGGGGTTCAGAACTTGTCCCTTGATTACTCCGACAGACTAAGTTAATTAAAAGAAATTGTATAATCCAGTTGTTATTAATTTACATTAAATAGTTAATCTCCATGGGGCCATATTCTTCTTAGATTGTTTTATGAATCTCTAAATTGTAAAAACATTGACCTGGAATAATATTTAGCTCTATTCCATACATGATTCAAGATGTTGTCTTTGAGGTTTAATTTAGTCATCTCTATTCAGTTAAAGCCAGAATGTAGAGAATACAAACTTCATAAAATCAGCTGTTCTTAACTGCATTATTCATTATCTCCGGTGCCTAGAAAAGTGCCTGGCACATAGGCAGTAGATTCTCGAGAAATGTGTTTAATGAATGAATATATATATGTAAGTTTTTATTAAGAAACAGAGCTGGTATTCATACAACCCCCTTTACTTACCCTAAGGAACATTGTCTTTAATATTTTATCATATTTTTATATCTACTTTTACTTAGCCCATAGGCTGGAGTATTAAACTGTAAGAATATAGATATCTTTTTGTTCTTTTTTTAACTGAAATCTGATTTTAACTCATTCTGAACATGAAAGTAATGTATATAAAACATGTTTCCAGGAAAGGAATTGATTTTTTAAGATTTTCTGCTGTTTCTTAAATTAAAATAAAAGTAAGACTGATGAGAAAATAGTCTGGACCTTTTTATAAAGGAGAGGCTAAGAAGTTGACCCTTTGCTGAAACAGTGAAAAATATGTGTAACTCGATAGCAAAAATTATTCCAGGCAAATTGAAATCCACTTCTATCTCCTTCTAGATAAGTTTCTTCTTATATGAGAAAAGTTAGTGCTGTGTATGTGATCTTTTCAGTCATTTAACATGTAATGAAGGAATTCATTCCTTATTTACAACTGAAGTTAATCATTTACTGCTTTTTCCTTTCTTCTAGGGTTAATCAGAAGAATATTCATTGTCAACTTAATTGTTAATCCATTTAAAAATTTTACTTTTTCTATATAATTTTCCTTTTCAGGGATTGAATTAAAATATTTAATATCCGCAAAACAAATAAACTTGCTTGTGGTCAGAGTGCATAAAATTTTACCTCTTAGCAAACTTCACTGTTGTGCATGATTTCCCCTTTGGTTCATACGACTCATGTGGCTTTTCTTTTTCTTTTCTTTTGTTTTTTTTCCATTCATGTTACCTCTTATTATATCCATCATTCCATTTTTCTTTCCTATTAGAGTGAAATTGGACACAGCCCTCCTCCTGCCTACACCCCCATGTCAGGAGTAAGTATTTCACAAGCAACCTTCATCTTTTAGGATTTTTGGTCTTTGCTCACCATGTTTCCTTTCTCTTGTCTCTCCGTAATTTCCTCATTTTGCCTTTGCCAACAGTGAATTAAGAATTTGCTGTAGATTATGTAGCTGCCTCTATAGATATGTGTTATCTCAATAGGTAATCCAAAATTGAGATATCATGCATCAACAGTAGCTTTCGATTTTTATCTGAAGGATTTACCTGGGCTCATAAATTACACTTCTGGGTGAGGAGGTTATCTTTACTTCTATGATTATAGGTCATGTACTAAAAAGTCAGAATCTCAGTGAAGATTCTCTAGTTAGGTACCGAAGACTCAAAATCACAGTAACCACAGAATAGAAGGCCATAAGTAAATAACACCATTCATATAGCATCATCGTGCTTCTGTTCTTAATGACAATTGTCTACAATTAATGGCATTGTCATTTCATTGTGAATTTTATATCAAAAATAGCCAATTGTGGGAAAGAACACGAAATATAATTTTATTAGATCATGTGGTAGGTGGTTAGTAAAATTAAAATAATATTTCCAAATTGTTTTCCCATGATTTACTTTTTAAGAAAAAATGGAACTTTAGGTGTTTCCAGTCTGTAACTCAAATTCATTAGACATTAGGGAAAAAACACCAATAAAAACTCTGACTTTTCTCTGAAAGATAAGCTTCCATATCCTTTTGGTTATTAACTGTCATTTTTTACAACTATTCCTAACGGTAACTTCCATCCAAATGTGTCTCTCCTTTGACAGAACCAGTTTGTGTACCGAGATGGGGGTTTTGCTGCAGAACAAGGAGTGCCCGTGCCCTACAGAACCACCACCAGCACCATCCCAGAAGCTCCAGCTGCTCAGGGGGCCACCGCCGAGATTTTCGATGACTCCTGCTGTAATGGCACCCTACGCAAGCCAGTGGCACCCCACATCCAAGAGGATAGCAGCACCCAGAGGTACAGCGCCGACCCCACAGTGTTTGCACCAGAACGGAGCCCACGAGGAGAGCTGGATGAAGAAGGTTACATGACCCCAATGAGAGACAAACCCAAACAAGGTACAGACAGAACATTCATACATGATTGTCATTCGACATTCACTTCCACCAAAATCAGCAAAGTATAGAAGGGAAATTGCCCAACCACTGGACTGTGGAACATTTGTGACCCAGAAAAGGCCTCGGCTGCTGCTCCTTGTAGTATAGTCACATCATCCGGGGGCTTTTTAGAAATCAGAATCTCAGGCCCCATCTGAATAGGATTCTGTGTTTTAACAAGATCCCCATGTGACTTTTATACACAGTCATATGCAGACTTTTATGCAGAGCTTGAGCAGTACTGATCTAAACATAGCTTTATTGGAATATTTGAATGAGGTAGCATATTATGAGATTTCAGGACCATTGTTCTCTTGGACTTACCGTGGAGATCATAAAGACTGGAATTGTTGGCAAAAGTATCTGAAGCTTTTGATGGCACCAATAAAAGATTTAGTTGATTCATTAAAATGGTGTCATTTAAATGACCTAGATTATTACAGGAAATTATGATTTCTAGTATGACACGTTTCAAAAATTAAAATTCTGACCCTGCATATACTTATATCTATACCATCACATCTTGAAAATATTCATGGTTTGTGGTTTTACAAAGCACAGTTTTACAAAGTTAGTAGTAGAAATGTTAAACATCGAAATCAAAAAACATTTCAATTTTGAAACAGCCTACTTTGAATGTTAACAGCATCATGGAAAGGAGGAAATGGATGACTGTTATTAAAAACTGATGATTGTGTCTTCAGTGTAAATAGTAAATCTATTTTAAGACTGTATGAGGGCCCATCATATTCTTTAATATACAGTTATATTCACTTTTATAAAATGCAATTAAGGGATCTCTGACTACACATTGTAAATAACCTATTAAAATATATCCATCTAGGTACAAAAGTATTACTGTAATGAAGAATTGGATGTTTATAGCAGCCCAGTAGTGACACAAATGTAGGTTTTGAGAAGATCTGACAGATCTCCTGAAAGTGGAATACGCTCTGGGAAGATTCTAAACTCAACCATAAAGTTATTCCTCTATCTATAACTGCATGGCTACACAAGTTTGCTTCAGGACAATAGATAAGTAGATTGCACCGAGAAATGGTAACGCGAACCTTCTAAGACAAAGGCAAATCAGTCTATATGCCCACTGTGGAGCACCCCAGATCTTGTCTCTGAACACTCAGAGACCCAAGTTTTTGTCAAAGCTTGGTCTACACTGGCCCACTTCTCAGAGATTAGAGAATTTTAGTGCAGAAATTCTCATACTTTCAATTAAGAAGTTTCAGGAATCTTGTAAGAAAAATCAAATTCTGGCTCCCTTAAAAGTTTTTCATACAAGTGGCCGGCCCGGTGGCGCAAGCGGTTGAGTGCGCGCACTCCACTGCGGCGGCCGGGGTTTCGCCGGTCCAGATGTCGGGTTTTGCCGGTCCAGATCCCGGGTGCTTGACAATGCACCGCTTGTCAAGCCATGCTGTGGCGGCGTCCCATATAAAGTGGAGGAAGATTGGCACAGATGTTAGCTCAGGGCCAGTCTTCCTCAGCAAAAAAAGGGGAGGATTGGCAGATGTTAGCACAGGGCTGATCTCCTCACAAAAAAAAGAAAAAAAAGTTTTTCATGCATTTTTCTTAAAAGACAGTAGCTTTGAGAACCATTCAACTCAAAATTTGTTATGAAGTGTAAGGTTCACCCTACTCCTATAAAGGCAGTAATGAAAACACTGCAGTAGAACCAAAGGATTCTTCAATAGGAGTTAGAAGTTCTGAATTCTAGTTCAGCACTCATTGCATCCTTCATACAGCATTTAATCTCAGTTTTCTGTCTATAAAGCTGGAAAAATACAGCTTGCACTTCCTTTATCACAGGACTTTTGTGAGGATGCAATGATAGTGCCTTGTAAATTACTGACTTGTAATTTACGTACTGTATGATGGTGGGATAGTCATTACTGTCTTTTAACTTGCACTTGATGCTAAATACTTAACGACATCCAGTAGGCCTATATCCAGGGAAAAATAACCCTGAGTTGATGAGATTTTTTTCTTTACATGTCAGGCGAAGTATAGGGGATAGAAAGTTTGTCTCAGAATGGTGGCATCTCAAGAAAAAAATTATGCCCTCTCCCTGCCCCAGCCCCAAAATAGGAATAGCTAAGTGTCCTTTTTGTGTATATACTGAAAAAGAGGAAAAAAGAAGGTTTACTATACATGTGTATATATGTCTATCTACAGTCTATGCTATAAACATAGGGGTGGAAATAAATTTGAGGAAAGCAACATTAATTAGCAGCATTTTTTAAAATTCTGAGCTAAATTCTAGTCTAGATGAATTTATTAGATTGAATCATACAAAAGAGCCACTATATGACAGGTTTCAACCTACAAAACAGCAATTTCATATGATTCAAATTAATAGTTTGCTATTTGATGATTATGATTAGCCATCAACAATAAATGTTACGATTATACTTTATTGTTAAGCATGTGTGTTGTGAAGCAAGTCAATTTAGAGGCATGTTAGATGTTTATCAGATTTATTTTATTGGTTGAGTCTTTTCCTTAGATGTTTCCTCTCCCATGTATAAAGCTTCCTGGGGATCACCTATAATCAAATCCTTCTTACCTATACAGACATTCACAACAAACCATATAGACTAAAAAACACTATTCCTTCACATCATCCATTCATTTTATCATGGAGGTAAGCTATAGACATTTTGATTTTCCAATATCCTCTAAAAATTCTGATTTCTCCACATTTAAAGGCTATTTAATCCCGATAGGTTGTCTTATCTTCCAACATAAATTACTGACTTTTAGAAAACAGAAGCATGTAAACAACTGGCCCCATAGGTAGGAGAGACAAATGCAATTAGAAGGAAAGAAGAACAATCTAGGATGCAGGAACTCTGATCCTGCTCCTGGGTGCCTGGTTTTGTCATTAATATTTTTGGCTCACTGACTCCTTTTTCCTATAACAGTAGTAATCAACAAAATAGTTTTTGTGAGAATTCATGAAAACAAATCTGTGGCTTTATGGTTCTGGAAGAAGAAGCTAACCATTCTGTATAACCTTAACATTTTCCAGAAAGCAGATGTTAACTGTTGTTTTTGTATCCCATCAGAATACCTGAACCCTGTGGAGGAAAACCCTTTTGTTTCTCGGAGAAAAAATGGAGACCTTCAAGCTTTGGATAATCCCGAATATCACAGTGCTTCCAATGGTCCACCCAAGGCAGAGGATGAGTATGTGAACGAGCCACTGTACCTCAACACCTTCGCCAACGCCTTGGGGAAAGCCGAGTACCTGAAGAACAACGTACTGTCCGTGCCAGAGAAAGCCAAGAAGGCATTTGACAACCCTGACTACTGGAACCACAGCCTGCCGCCTCGGAGCACACTTCAGCACCCAGACTACCTGCAGGAGTACAGCACAAAATATTTTTATAAACAAAATGGACGGATCCGGCCTATTGTGGCAGAGAATCCTGAATACCTCTCTGAGTTCTCGCTGAAGCCAGGCACTGTGCTGCCCCCTCCACCCTACAGACACCGAAATACTGTGGTGTAAGTTCAGCAGCGGTTTTAAGGTGGAGAGACACGCCCACTCCAATTACTCGTCCGCCCTCTTTCTCTTATGGTCTTCCTTCTACTCCCAAGGCCAGTAGTTTTGACACTTCCCAGTGGAAGCTCTAGAGATGCAATGATAGTTATGTGCTTAGCTAACTTGAACATTAGAAGGAAGAACAGAAAAAGAAAGACAGGAGGAACCACACTGTTTCGTCATTTTTCTGCATGGGTTGGTCAGGAGACTGACACAGCTAGAGAAGGCAAATATGAGGCAATGCTGCCTACTGTCAAACTAGTTCTCAACTTTTTTTCTCTTTTTTCTTTCTTTCTATTTTTTTTTTTCAATGCAGATGCTTGAAAGACCTATGCTATCTGTTCCTTTCTGCAGGAACTAATATGTACATTTTCAGCATCCCTGGAAATTCTAATGAAGTTTCCATTAGAACAAAAGGATAACCTTTTCTATAATATATGATAGTAACTGAGATGGAGAATACAATTGCTTTCTCCAACAGTTTCTATCCTAACAAGCAAGAATGGCTAACTCAGCTTTCATAATTTTTTAATCTCTGTCCAAGTTATCACTAGCAATTATGTTAGGAGGCCTTTTTGGAGGCCAATTATATTAGGAGGTTTTTTCATTTTGTTTTGCTTTGGTCTGTCTCTTCCTGTTACTTTTTCCCCTATTTTTGGCTTTAATTTCTAATTGCAAAGATTTTTACATCAAAGCTTCTTATGTGTTGCTATAATTGACGGAATTTTAAAAGCATATATTTTAATATGGTGAAATGGCCACTATTTTAAATATACAGTCTTTAAAATTGGAAGGGGAGGTCAAGATATTAGTCAAATGTAACGTCAAATCTAACTTCCATGTTTTACACTATTGAATATGTAACCCCCCGTTGCTTTACATTCTTTGACATTTTCTTCTCCTCCATAAGTGACAGTACTTGACAGGCAGTTGGTAATGTTAAGAGTAGAAGGGAAACTAAGAAACATCTCTGGGTGGTTCATGAAAACTGCTGACACTTTCAGGGTGGTCCAATGGGAAATCCATTGAACTGGAAGAAACACACTGGATTGGGTACGTCTACCTGGCAGATACTCAAAAATGTAGTTTGCACTTAAGCTATATAATTTTATTTGTTCTCTTTCCGAACTCCATTTTGGATTTTGAATGAAGCAATATGGAAGCAACCAGCAAAATAACTAATTTAAGTACATTTTTTAAGAAAAGCAAAGATAAAGAAAGACTGTGGAAATGCCAAACCAAGCAAATTAGGACTTTGGAGCGGTATCCAGGGATGATGGTGAGAGGGCCAGCACAGTATCTACATGTGATATCACACTTGCTACGCGAGGAAAGTTGTCCAGTTTATATACTCCATATGAAGGAATGCAAATAAGGATTGGCTTGAATTACATGGAATTTGTAGTATGAGACTCTATTTATATTAAGTGGAAGGTCACTCTTTGCACATAAATTGGTATAATAAAAAAATATATACAAACATTCACAGCATATAGATAGGTCCTTGGGTCAAAAGTTGTAAATAAACTTGAAAAATCTTCTCATGTAATTATTTTAATATCCAACATACTAATCTTTTGATACTTTATATGATAACTCTTTTTCTTCAAACATAGCATCCTAGTTCTAGAATCATCTTTATTATATATGATTTTAAAAGAATACCTACTAAGTTAAGAGGAGCCAACAGGAACAAATGGTAGGAATGAGTCTCCAGGAAAAGGGGGCATCAGGTCAGTAATTAGGAAAATTGAATATAAGTATCTCTTTTCTAGGAAAATCTGCTCCAAGTTATTTTGATTTTTTTGAAAATATTTCTTTCTAATGTTAAAATATTGGCATCAAGTTCAAGTCTATCGCCTAAAAGAAAGCCATTAGACTAAAAATCTCCACTGGCCAAGCAGAGAGTTTAGAGAAAAAAAAAGGCAAAGAAATCTAGGTTTTTGCCTGTTTTGAAAAAGTAAACCCATTCATCCATTCAACGCCCTTATTTTTCCAACTGATATTTATTTAGAGTCTACTAAAAGCATTGGGTTATGTGGGGAACACCCAGATAAATGCAATATTATCCCTGACTTAAAAATTTTACAGTCTAGATTTATTTGGAATGGCATTTGAATTTCTCCATAAGTACAAGGAATAAGATTGCGTGGACTATTTTATGAGCAGTCATCATAAAATGAGCAGTTTGTTAAAAGATCTCCTGCGAACTCATTTGGTACATGAATTAAACATAGTACAAGTTACTGAAGTTGACAAATAGGATAGTTTCAACGTTATCATCCAAACACAAACTGGTCTAGAAGGATATTGCATCACTGGATAATCGACCTATCTCAATTCCAGCTTGACCATTAAATCAACAGTAGATGTTGGTGTTTGGCCAAGAATCTTGGAGATGTTGAGATTGGTTTCTTCCTAAATTATGAGAAGTGAAGTAAGCTAAAAGAGTGAGGTAGAGCAAGGGAGGAGTTTGAAAGATCCCTTCTAGTGAAGTTCAACCACAAACTTTCCAGGGTTGAAGGTACAGAATGATTCAGGGGATACAGCCTTACAGCTCAGAGCTCTCCCACCCATTCAGAGGAGTCTCCAGGAAAAGGGGACCTCACATCAGTACTTATAAAATTTGGGTATAAACCTCCCTTCCTAGATAAATCTGTACCAAGTTATCACTGACAGCACCCTCACTGGATACTAGAACTTGACTTTTTCTTCTGATTTACAATATTTATATGGTTTCTACTGGGATATGGAAAGCAGAATCACTTATTTTGAAGAAAGAAAAACACAATAAATTTTTTACTGTTAAGGTAGAAGAAATATATTCAGTGAATGTAGTCTCCTCCATCTTAAGAAAACAAGACCCTTACACATCAGGTAATCTCCCATTAATAACTGAAAATAGACAGAAGCATTATCCAAATGACCCAAAAGCCTTCATAAGAGCTCCACTTTATTGTTTTTTTAAAGATTTTATTTATTTATTTTTCCCCCAAAGCCCCAGTAGATAGTTGTATGTCGTAGTTGCACATCCATTCTAGTTGCTGTATGTGGGACGCGGCCTCAGCATGGCCGGAGAAGCGGTGCGTCGGTGCTCACCCGGGATCCGAACCCGGGCCGCCAGCAGCGGAGCGCGAGCACTTAACCGCCAAGCCACGGGGCCGGCCCTATTGTTTTTTTAAAATGATTTCTATAGTACATCATACTTGATTTCAGTTGTTTTAGGGTTTCTCTTTTGTTGTATTTTTATCCTCCTAGGAAAACATATTTCAGAGTGTATGAGAGGAAGAAAAAAAAGAGTTTCATTTGTTCCAAAAAATAACTTATTCAACCCAGTAGAGCGAAATTAAAATACCATTTAAAGCCTGCAAAGTGCATCGAAATATCAGATTCCAGAGGCTAGTTCTATCAGTGCAAATATGCAGAACCAATTAATTAAATTTGAGGAGAATTAATAGGAAACTTATACAGACTTTTTTAAATCCCCCAATTTTATAGCTGATAATTATCTCTGGGAATCCTATTTTCACGTAAGGAAAAACTGTACAACTAAATGATTATTTAAAGAAGTCATTTGTAGATGGTGAGAAAAGATGTCCTCTAAACCAGGGTAGACCCAGAACCACAAAGCATCCTACCCCACAAAGAGATGCTTGGACTACTGAGCAGCAATGAATTTTCCAAATAGTAGTGGCACAAGTTAAGATGAGAGTTCTTTCTCGAGTAATATTCTTGCAATAGCATTAAAAAAATGCAAAACTCAAATTATTTTAAAACCTACAAACTAAGGATATGAGATTCTTTCTTAGTAGATCAGGAAGGATGACTGAATATCTGTAGCTTGAGAGAAGACATAGTGTTCTTCTAGGTGTTATAATGTGTGTGTTAATACCTTCTAGAGGCAGGGCATGGCAGGAAGAGATGCGTATTCCCAATGCCGTGGACAAATCAGTAGAAGAACTGTGAGATTCTGCTGCTAGATGACATTAGGGGGGCTGTTAACATGCTTCTCAAAGTGTCAAAAGTGAAAAGAAAAATAAAATTGTTTAAGCCCAACAAGGAAGGATGTAAATACAAGTTTTTCTAGAGCTATCTAACCTTTATTTCAAAACTTGAATTATCCATCCATCTATAAATGTTGATTATTTAACTAGTATATGTAGTTCGTAAGGTAATAGGAAAGGGGATCACAAAAGCATGTATATAACTTGGCAGAACTATGATAACGCTGTAAGACGTAGACTTAGTTTATCAGACGTTAAATGAGTTTAATATTATTAAATAAATCAAACTAGAAAATTAACAACAAAATATAATGTAACAAAATAAAATGCAGGATATGAAAATGTAAGATGGATTTTGCATAGTAAAAAATAAGTTTACCATTTAAAATTGTTATTAGGCTTAGCTGAAAGTAGAACATAAGAGCTGGTTCCACTTGTGAAGACTTGCTTTAAAGCATTACAATTAAATCTTTTCTCATTCTCTTATTCTTTTACCATTTTTTAAATGTATTAAGTAAGTGTAAAGAGAAATTTTTAAAATTTGTTTTGCAAACAGCACCTTGTAGAGTTTAACAGGCAAATCTGTTGCGTATGACTTTAAGTAAGAGGTTTTCAAAGTGAAGTGAAGGAAGTGTAAATGTTCTATTACCTTATGCGGAGACCAAGAATAAGTGGTGCCATTTAGTAAACAAACAAAATGCATTTAATTTGTAACACATCTTTTTCCTTCCACGATACCCTCCCATTTCCAACTACCAAAACAAGGACTTAGTTAACATTGTTCTGATAAATAAACGCTAAACCGAATATTTCAAACTGCTGTATTTCCATTATTTTGGACTCTAGGTATTAGACCAATGATTTTAAATAGGGCAAATGAGAAATCTAGGCGTATAAGCTTCTAGTTGTTAAAAAGCCAGATAAACTAAATCTACTGTATGTGTTTTGGGCAGAGAATTCTGCTGGACCTCTCTCTGTGTCTACGGACTTGGAAGGGCAGCCTTGTGTCCACGTAGACATGTAAAGGGAGATTCACGCCTCCTGACTGGCATTTGCTTAAGAATGTATAACATTAGACAGATGTAGATTGGGAGTAATTTTAAAGTAACAGTATCAGTGAAGACCTTGATTATACTGATTTTACAATGGGGCTAGCTTTTATACTTCTGGGTAGAATTAATACAATTTTTTCTAATCCCAGAGATGTCTTTGCAAGAGTAGTTCTCTCCACAGTTGCAGACACGAAGCTGTTGTTTGGTCAGGAAC